GATTGATTCATTCTGATTTGTGTGGTCCTATGTCGATCCAGGCTAGAGGAGGTTTCGAGTACTATGTGTCTTTCATAGATGATTACTCGAGATTTGGGTACGTTTATCTGTTGCACCGCAAGTCCGAATGCTTTGAGAAATTCAAGGAGTATCGGGCAGTTGTGGAGAAGCTTCATGGTAAATGTATCAAGTCACTTCGTTCTGATCGAGGTGGCGAATACCTTTTTGGAGAGTTCAGGACATACTTATCGGAAGCTGGGATTGAATCCCAACTGACTGCACCCGGCACGCCCCAGCAGAATGGGGTTGCAGAGCGAAGAAATAGGACTCTTATGGAGATGGTTAGGTCTATGATGAGTTATTCGAGGTTACCAGATTCGTTCTGGGGTTTGGCATTGGAAACGGCATCGTATATTCTGAACATGGTTCCGTCGAAGTCAGTTGACACTACCCCTTATGAGATGTGGAAAGGGCGCAAGCCCAGTTTCTCACAGTTTCGAGTTTGGGGTAGTCCTGCACACGTGTTAGTGCAGGAACCTGGCAAGTTGGAGAAACGTTCGGAAGCACGAGTTTTCGTAGGCTATCCCAAGGGAACGAAAGGTGGATTATTTTATAGTCCCGAGGATCAGAAGGTGATCGTTTCGACGAACGCTAGATTCTTGGAAGAAGACTATATTATGAATCATAAGCCCGCGAGTAGACTAGTCTTAGAGGAGTTAAGGGGTGAAATCGATGGTTCCCCACCGAGTGCGCAAGTAGATACATCACATAATACTGCAACACGACACACTGAGAGTGTACCAGTGCAGACAGTGCCTCGTCGCAGTGGGAGGGTTTCTCATTTACCCGACCGATGGATAGGTCTTGGAGAGTCGTCAGACTCAGTTCCAGGAGGCCTAGAATCGGACCCAAGAACTTACGATGAGGCACTCCAAGATAAAGATGCAGATTCATGGAATGTTGCAATGAAAGCTGAAATGGGGTCAATGGACTCCAATCAGGTCTGGGATCTTGTAGAACTACCCGATGGGGTACGACCCATTGGATGTAAGTGGATCTATAAGAGAAAGAGAGGATTGGATGGGAAGGTGCAAACCTTTAAAGCTAGGCTTGTTGCGAAAGGTTATACCCAGATCGAGGGTATTGATTATGATGAGACCTTTTCGCCAGTAGCTATGCTTAAGTCCATTCGGATTCTCTTGGCTGTAGCCGCTCATATGGACTATGAGGTCTGGCAGATGGATGTCAAGACAGCTTTCCTTAATGGGAACCTGCAAGAAGACATCTATATGCAGCAACCAGAGGGATTCATTGCTGAAGGTCGTGAGCATCTAGTGTGTAAGCTTAATCGGTCTATTTATGGACTGAAGCAAGCTTCGAGATCTTGGAACATCCGTTTTGATGAGGTGATCCAGTCGTACGGGTTCACTCAATGTCCGGATGAGCATTGTGTTTACAAGAAAATCAGTGGGAGCGTGGTGGTGTTTCTTGTGCTTTACGTAGATGACATACTGCTTATTGGAAACAGTAAGAAGGAGTTATCAGACGTAAAGGTGTGGTTGTCTAAGCAGTTTGATATGAAGGACTTAGGTGAAGCAGGACACATTCTTGGTATTAGGCTCATTAGAGATCGTAAGAAGAGAATGTTGTGCTTATCCCAGTCTTCATACATAGATACTGTCTTGGCCAGATTTAGCATGCAGGATTCCAAGAAAGGTATGTTACCTTTTAGACATGGAATACCTTTATCTAAGGAGATGTCTCCTAAGACGTCTAAGGAGATAGAGGAGATGAAGACAGTTCCTTATGCTTCGGCAGTAGGAAGTCTCATGTATGCAATGCTATGCACAAGGCCGGATATTAGCTACGCCGTTGGCATGGTAGCTAGATATCAAAGTAATCCAGGACGGGAACATTGGTCTGCGGTGAAGCATATACTCAAGTACCTGAGAAGGACTAAGGAGTACATGTTAGTTTACCGTGCAGACAGCTTGTTACCTCTGGGTTACAGTGATTCTGATTTCCAGTCAGATAGGGATGAAAGTAAGTCAACCTCAGGTTATGTGTTTACCTTGGGAAGTGGAGCCATTTCATGGAGGAGTGCTAAGCAGAAATGCGTGGCAGACTCCACCATGGAAGCCGAGTACATAGCAGCCTCAGAGGCAGCGAAAGAGGCAGTTTGGCTCAGGAACTTCTTAGTGGACTTAGAGGTTATACCGAGTTTGCCACGTGGTATCACCGTGTACTGTGATAACAGTGGAGCAGTAGCGAACTCAAAAGAACCTCGAGCCCACAGGGCAAGCAAACACATAGAGCGCAAATACCATCTGATTCGGGATATCGTTGGTAGAGGAGACGTTGATGTTGCCAAGATTGCATCAGAGGATGCATGGCGATAGGATCGACATAGGTCTTTTAGAATAACGGATTGATAGGACTATACTGTAAAAGCGAAAGCTTTAAGTATAAGTGGGAGATTGTTAGTGTTATATACTGAAAGCTTGGCTTTGCATGTTATTACACATTTACCCTTTATGAATGAGAATCATGTTAGATTAAACAAGTTCTACGTTCTGTTGTTCTGCACTTAGATAGGGTGGGTCGTCATCGGGCGAACCGAAGATCACTCTATCAGTCACTTGCGAACAAGAATAGTTGTTCACAACCTAGATGGACATGAACACCCCATCCGAACGGTTGTAGTGTCAACTGTACAGTTTGTCTTGACTGATTAGTTGCACTAGTACATTTATGTATTGAACAGGATCCCAGAGAGGAGAAGTTCATTTTATACTGATCGTCGTAAATGAACTAGGCCTCGGTTAATTACTGCGTTCTCTTAACCCGTAAGATATTAAACAGGCAGATATATATAATATATATTACTTTGATTCACATGGGTGAGGTTCAGTTCGCTGGATTAATATTCCTACTGTTTTGGGTAATATTATTATATATAGGATGTGCTGTTAGGATATTTACGGTCACCATGTGCGTTAGTTTGATGATGTCCCCGGAGTGAGTTCATGAAGGATTGTTATGCTAAACCCTGCAGGTGGATTAAATTCCGGCATAATAAGAATGTGATGAACGAGCGCTAGCTTCGGTGAAATAATAATAAATTAATTAATTCTTGATTGTCAGTAATCGAATTAATTAATGGACATTATATCTTAAACGTGGGGAGGTAAATCGAGTAATTATTATTGGAGTCTCAAATGTAATTTGGGCTAGGGAAAGGGAGTGCAATAATATAATGTTGGTGGCCCATTAATATTATTTAATTAATTAGAGGAGTGGGTTTGGCCCACAGTTAGTCTAATTAATTAAGGAGCCCTTTTCCTAATCTCCTTAGGGTCCCTACTGTAGCTCTATATATACATCATTAAGCTCATGAGAAGAGAATAGAAGTCTCATTCTCACGTGAAACCATCTCTCTCTCTAGATCTCATTCGAGCTTTATCTTCTTCTTGTTGCTCCACTGGTACAAGTTGAAGAAGGGTGTATTGAGTAATACAGTAGAAGATCTGTAGGTAAACAGAGACGAAATTGATTTTGACCTACAGAACTAACCAGAAGTCCGATTGAGACGTACAGTATACCCAGACGACCGTCTCGACGAGAGCTTTCCATCGCCTCCGACGTCGCCGGAATCCGACGCCGCACGCGCCCTCACGCGCCGCCGGAAGGTGTCTGGCAGCAAAATTTCGTTTTGATCTGTTTGCATCCGTTTGATCCAGTTTTGATCTGATCTTGTTCGTGCAACTCAAGACGCGTGTTGCGGTCAATCAATTGCGGTCAACCGTTCGTGGTCAACCAGATCTACATAAATTTTAAGCCGTAAGTTCCCTACGTCAAACCTTTAGATCCGCTGCGCATAGGTTTACGTTTGCTATTGAATTCGTGATTTGTACATAACGAGATCCTCACAGATCCCAACAGGAGGATCACTCAAAGCAGGAAGTGTTCAATCCATTTGTGACAATAGTGAGATAACATATAATTAATAAGATATAAATATAATATGTTAATGATGTTTTAAGTATTATAAGATGCCATTATATAAGTAGCTAGTTTGTAGCGTTGAATACGATATATTTCATATTGCTGTAAATAGGAAAAAGAAAAGAAATATGATAGTATTTCATTTATTGTTTTAGCTTCAAAAGTTCCGGTAGCTATGATCCCTAATTAATGACGGTAGGCAGCTGCTACATGCTACAAATAATGTGCCATAGAATTGTACNCTAGAAATGCAGTTACAAAATGAAAAAATAAACAAATTAACTAATAATATAAATCGAATACTATTTTATACTACTACGAAGCCACCAACCCCTTTACTTTATAATAGTGTTCTAGAAGTTTTTAGTCAGCTCAACAACACATAACACTATCGTTTAGACATGGTTTAGAAATTAAGATTATCTTACTTTTTATTTATTTTTAATATATATAAAATAAAATTATTTCAACTTATAATAAATTCACACACTTAAATTTAAATAATAATATTAATATATTATTAAAAAAATAATAAAAATAATGTAATTAGTATTTAGAAAAATTAAAAAATTACCACCGAACGGCATAGACGTCTGGTCGATTTTTTCTGCCGATTTATGGAAATCGAAGACCGCCGCCTAGGCCAATTTTTATTGCCGTACTTTATAGTCCTCATATCTATTTTCTTTGTCCTATTTCATCTTTTATGACTATTCTATTCAAACTTATTGCAGCTAGAGAAAACCATACTGCAATAATTCATTCTATGTAAGCCTCTCCATATTTTCAAACTTGAGGTTCTTATTATTTGACCAAACATAAATTAAATAAGCTACGGAAATATTTTATTGACCGGTTTAGGATACTCCACACTTGAAAATTATTTTCATCTAAATAATTGCCCCTATCCTATAAGTAACTTCCCAAATTCTACCCCCAAATTACATTTCTGTAACACCTCTCTCTCTCTCTCTCTCTCTCTCTGAATTAGAGAAATGGAAGTTAATCAATCGGCCGGAAGCCAGCGGCGGAAAAGAGGCTACAACCGATTAACTCTGTCAAGCCGTAGAAACCTTAAAGTGTCCAAGTTAGGCGGCTCCAAGCGTTCATGGCGGCTCAGGCTCACACCGAAACTGCGGCTGGTCAGGCTGGCTTCGCCGCTCCGGCTGTGGCGGCGGTTGAAGAACGCCTACATGAACATGATGCTCAAGTTCGCCGGAAACGGCTCCGGCGGCGCGAACGCCGTTAATGCTTTTGGGGTTAAGAGGATACCGAAAGCACGTGGCGTCCCGATGGCTTACTCTAGGACGGAGTTTGAGAACCGGCTGATTTTCGAGATCTACAAGTCAATGGTCGATTCTTTTGAACTGGGCTACCAAAAGCAAGTATAGTTTTTTTTTTTTTTTTTTTTTTTTTTTTTTCTTTCTTTTTTCCAGTTATTGTTTTCTATTTTTAATGTATCTTGCTTTTGAATAGAAATGAAGAACTTCGTGTTATTAATAAGTTGATTTGATCATTTGGTTATCGAATATAGCAAAGTGTAAGTAACTATTTCTATTTGCTTGAGCGTTTTATCGATATTTTTACTGCAATGCCAAAAATGACAAATTTTTGGTCTCTTATATTTGTGTTGAAAGAATACTGCTTGATTGGTGCTGTCACCAAAATTATTGTATAAAAAATTGCTATTAGCAATGATGTGTAATTTTGGTAGTTCTTGATTTAATGTTTAATGTCATATGAAAAATGATCATGTCATATATATAAACTTAGATAATTTGACATCTGCAGGGTAAGCTGCTATATGTTATTTGAAAAATGTTGGCTATTAGGTTCAAAGCATGTGTTCTGGGACTTTTCTTTTACAGTGTTCTATGAGATACGTGTGGGACTTTTCTATCAATGTTTAACAATTTTTATTGTTGTTAATTAGGGCACGTGAGTAACTGGCAAATAATATTATTAATATTTATAATTAAAAATATGAAATTCATATATCACATAATTATGGATTACCTACGTTAATTTATTAAAAATCATATATATATATATATATATATATATATATATATATATACATTCTTAAAATGAGGACATGAGACTCAATCATAGCCACTAAAAAGGTATCAAGATGTGTGGCCAAGATTTAACTCTTTATTTAAATAATAAATTTTTATTTTAATTATTTTAGTTATTTAAATATTATTTTGACCATTGACCGTTGACTCCTGCGTTGATCGTTGACTCCGGCGTTGACCGTTGACTTCCAGCGTTGACCCGTTGACCATAATATGTATTGTGTACGAAGTAAATGTGGTGAGGCAAAGTTAGTGTAAATATGTTGTAAAGTTATTGAAACAAAACACATCCATAATTAGTGATAAAGTTTTGCACGATAAGTGTCAAAATGTTGCATTGTTATTGAAACAATGATGCAAAAGATGTTGCATAGTTAGTGATAAAAAGTGTTGCAATATTAGTGTAAAAATGATGCATAGTTAGTTTAAAAATGTTGCATGGTTATTGAAACAATGATGTAAAAAATATGTTGCATAGTTAGCGATAAAGTGTTGCAAAATTAGTGTAAAAATAATGCATAGTTAGTGATAAAGTGTTGCACAGTTAGTGTAACGATGTTGCATAGTTAGAGAAAAAGTGATGCAAAAACGATGTTGCATAGTTAGTGATAAAGTGTCGCACAGTTAGTGTAAAAATATTGCATGGTTATTGAAACAATGATGCAAAAACACTGTACACGAGAGACATTGATCAACACTGTACACGAGAGACATTGATCAACAATGATGTAAAAATGTTGCATGGTTATTAACAAACCAGATACATATTTATTTCAACACAGGTGCATAAGTATTCCAATTACTTAATCTGAGTCATTGATCAACACAAAATCAATGGTTAAGAGGTGTCATCATTTTAAGAGTTGTCCTCATTTGATCCGCCCCCTATATATATACTAGTGTGTGGTCCGTGCGATGCACGGAAAAATAATATTACGATTGTATTAAAAATAAATATATAAATAACATCAATTATGATTTACCCACTATTTTTAAATTAAATCGGGTTGGAGACAGTCCGACCGGATGGACCGAGAAGCGATATATAACCAGTCTAGTTCGTTTGAATAAAATATTTGCTATCGAATCCGTCAATACCAGTCGGTTGGACTGGTAGGATCGATACGATTTTATAAATAAATTTTGTTGCATTTAAAATTATTTTAAATAAAATTACATATTTAAATAAAATAGAGATTTATAAGTTGTTTATCAATTAGTTTAAAAATTTGAATTTATAAATTTTTTAGATATTTAAGCAACACATTTTATTTAAATTTATTACAAAAATACTATATATATATATATATATTAAAATATTTATAAATTAAAATCTGAACAAACCACAAATGATTTAATAAAAATAATTTGATCGTTTCGATGACGGCCTGATTCTGAAAACCTTATATTTACTGTACATTAATAGAAATTATAATAAAATATTATTTTATTCACATAAATATTAATAAAATGATATATAAATAATTATAAATTATTAGACATGTTGTCATAAAAGTATTGTTAATACGATTATTTGAAGTTTGGACTGCATCATAAAAGTATTTTCTATATTAAAATTTATATTTAGGTTTAATAATCGATGGTCTGGTCAAATTGATATAGAACTTAGTCACGTGAGACCAACCAAGTTGTGTCAAGTTTTTTTACTATTTTAAATATCACCTAAAAGTAATTCAATCAACCTGGGAAGTTCCCTAATTCAATCACTCAATTGATCCAGAGGAATTTCTTTATTTTCTTTAAATATATTTAATTTTATGAAATAAAAATATTTATGATCTATATAATATATGTCTACACCAAATGATAGTATATTAAGATTATGAATTATATATCTAAAGATGAATTATTATTATTTTTTTACTTTATGCATATTAATAAAAAATAAATACAGTAATTTTCAAAAAAATTAAGATTAATTAATTGATTATGTAATTTAAAGAATATTTTTAGCGTTCAATTTTTTTTTTTGAAAGGCACAAATATAAAGACCGAGATTCTAAAACTTTTGTTATATTTTGAATTGAGGTTTTATAAATGTAGAGACTGAGATTTTAATGTTGTTCGTTGGTTCTAAAAAAAATAAAAATAAAAACATGCACACTTAATAGATCTTAGCCGGATTTTAAATGATAAAATAAATTAAACCCAAAATTTAGGGTAGCATTTAATGTTGTATGATTTTTAAAGAAAAAAAAAAAGAAAAATAATAAAACTCACTATTTATGGGCTGCATTAAAATTTGACATTTTTTTTGCTACTATTTTTGGTAAATAGTTAAATGGTTATTCTTATTATATATGTGTGTGTGTATGTGAGTGTGTGTGTGTGGGAACATGAGACTAACTCTTACCCATTGATTTTGTGTACTGACCATATTAATCAATTAAAAAATACAATTATTAAAAAGTAATAACTATTATTATTATATTTAATTAATTGTATAATTAAAAAATAACAAATCGTCGTTGACCGGTCAGTTGCAGCCGTCGACCGCCGCCGATAGTTGTTCTCAGTCAGCCCAGCCCCAGCCAAATCTCGTCGGGGAAAAGATACGGACTTGGCCTCGGCGTCGCAGTTGCTGAATAGAAAGAAAGATACCGCTGACCGGAAAAATCACAAGTTCCGATGGCATCAAAATATCGTTGGCTCCTGTGCATGATCGAGCTCGACATAAGATCTGTCGGAACGTGGTGCTCAGAGCAGAGAAGATCTCGGGGCGACGAGGGTGGAGTGGGGTTCGTGGAATCGGCCCACACTAGCGTCGACAAGAACCTCAAGGCGGCGTTGAGGCTGGGAGGGGGTATGGACGATCAGAAATGGGGCGGGAAAGTGTACGCCGACTGCCGGAGGACTGTGCTCGCAGACGACTGAGGTGGAGGGACGTGATGTCAGTAAGGAGGGGCTGCTGGGGATGGACTGATTTTTGGGATTTGGGGATGGGCTTATTTTTTAAATTTAGACAAATGATGAGGAATTAATTGCAATTCAGAAACTTTACATAATTGTAATTTTATCCTTGGGGTCAATCTGTAATTTATGTATATTTTGAATAACTACAATATGGCCCTTGGGTTTTTATATTATATAGTTAATGCACATTTAGTTTATTTCTTGTGCATATTTAAATAATATACCATGCATACTTTAGTTATAATTAATGCATACTTATTTGAGAATAAGAAATGCATATTCATATTTAGTTCCTTCATTGTGCATATTTAGATAATAAGAAATGCATATTTAGTTCATCATAGTGCATATTTGTTATATTAAATTAAATATATACATGATACATATTTAGTTATTTAGTTCATACAAAATGCACAGTTTGTTCATCCATAGTGCATATTTATTATATATACATGTGCATATTTTGTTAATTCATGATGCATATTTAGTTCTTATGAAATACATATTTAGTTCATGCATAGTGCATATTTTTCATATTTAATTTAAATATATACATGATGATATCTAGTGCACTCATAGTGCATATTTAATTCATACGAAATACATATTTAGTTCATTCATAGTGCATATTTGTTATATTAAATTTAAATATGTACACGAGACATATTTGGTTCGTTCATAATGCATGTTTAGTTCATACGAAATGCATATTTAGTTTATTCATGATGCGTATATATTTAACATAAATATATACATGATGCATATTTATTTCATAAGAAATGCATATTTTATTCATCCCTAGTGCCTATTTGTTATACTTAAATTAAATATATACATGTGCATATTTAGTTCATTCGTGATGTATATTTATTTCATAAGTAATGCATATTTAGTTCATCCATATTGCATATATATATTTTTAAATTAATATATACATCATGCATATTTAATTCATACGAAATGCATATTTAGTTCCTCCACAGTGCATAATTGTTATATTTAATTTAAATACATACACTGTGAATATTTAGTTCATTCATCATGCATATTTAGTTCATACGAAATGCATATTTAGTTCATGCATAATGCATATTTAGTTCATCCATAATGCATATTTGTTATTTTAAATTAAATATATACATGATGCATATTTCGTTCATAAAAAATGCATATGTAGTTCATCCATAATGCATATTTTTCGTATTTAAATTAAATATAAGCATATGCATATTTAGTTCATTCATGATTTATATTTAGTTCATACGAATTGCATATTTAATTCATAAACAATGGATATTTAGTTGATATTATTATTGCACATTTAGTTCATAAGGATTACATATACAATTCCTACCAAACACATATTTTGTTCATATTAAGTGCATAGTGCTGAATGCATATTTACTTCATACATAATGTATACTAAGGTCAACGGTCAACGCTGAAATTCAACGGGTCTCGCCGAAAATCAATATTAGAAGTCAATGGTCAACGCCAGAAATCAACGGTCAACATCAAATGGTCAAAATAATATTTAAATAATTAAAAAAAATAAAGAGTTATTATTTAAATAAAGAGTTAAATCTTAGTCACACATCTTGACACCTATCTAATGGCTATAATTGGTCTCACATACTCATTTTAAGAATGTGTTTTCATTGGAACCAATCTCTCTCTGTCTCTGTCTCTCTCTCTCTATATATATATATATATATATATATATATAATAGTATCGTTTTCCAATAAAAATATACTTACTTGATATGATTTTTTATTACTTTGTGTTGATAGATGGATCCGATCAACGGTTAAAATAAAATGTGATGAAAATGCGAAATGGAGAGATGGAGAGAAAATGCGAAATAATCACGGTTTATTATATAATCACGAGGTCGGCCTCTCGTACGAGGTCGGTACTTTTCTTACAGTTGCGGATATTTGTTACGAGTATTACAAGTGTTTAGAGAGAGAGAGAGTAGAGAGAGAGTCTGTTAGTTCAGGATTTAACAACCCAAAATAAATGAGGGCTACTTCTATTTATAGTGTTCTTTAATGCGTCACTGTTCCTCCATTGTTCAGGTTGTCTTGTCGCACAATGAGCCTGAAAGACAGGCCGGCGTCTCTCTGACTGATTGTGAGTAATTTGTGGATCTTTTAATGATTACCTGAGAGCATTTAATGCTAGCATGGGCAACATCTAGCATTAAATGCTGGCAGGAGCTCTAGCCAGACTAGATATCCTAGGTTGTCAAGGGTATGGTGGTGCGTCCCATCCGCAATTATTGTCCAACAAGTAGCAATATTTTATTGTTATCGAGCCCCACACCTTTCCACGGGGTATCCGTCCTTGATCCCCAGATCGATTCTCGAGCTCATCACCCGCTTCCGATCTTCAGGATCCATACTTCAGACCGTCACTTGTTCGAGGTCGGCATCGGCGCCTCGAAGATGAAAGTGCCGGCCTCAGAAACAAAATCACCCGTGTTCGATGCTCATCCTTTATCAGGACTGAGCTCGGTACTTCAATGCCCGGACCGGACCGCCGACCCGGCTCTTGGTGGTGTCACACCCTGTTTCTTTTTGGGACGAACTCACGTCTTCCAGAATCGAGGCGGTCGACCAAGCCTGTGCCGCTGACGATGACGCCTAAACGCGGGGGGAACGACACCAACACTCGAGAGGTGCCGTGGTTGCGGCTTCAACCGCATCGTCGATCTCTGCGTCTTCCAGACCCATAGGGACCCGCTCTCGCCCACGGGTGTCGCCCCGAAGAGTCTCGTCGACAAGCTCGGCGTCGACGTCGGAGTCTTCGGGGGAATTGGTGCCGGTTTCTTTCTCGCCCTCCCCGACATCTGACTGGCTGGAACCAAGGTCAATAATCTTGACCGTGGGGAACCCAGAAGGATTTTCTCTATGCGAACTCGTCACCGCCGCCATCGATGTCACGCGGACGGTCGAAATTGGCGTGACCCTGAGTGGTTGTGTCGTCCCTACCGCCGGAGAGGAGTAAACCACCATCTCCCCGGTCTCCTCCGCCGTGTATCCCTCGTCCCCAACAAGAAGATTCGCCGTGGAACCAGAAAAACCCGACATAATTAGAGAAAAAAGAAGAATTAGAAGAAAGATGGGTCTCCTCCGCCGTGTATCCCTCGTCCCCGACAAGAAGATTCGTCGTGGAACCAGAAAAACCCGACATAATTGAAGAAAAAAGAAGAATTAGAAGAAAGATGGAATTACAGGTACAGAAATTGCGGGAGAAGCTCCGAAAATCGCCTTAGAAACCTTGCTCGAAAAATTCCGGTTGCTCGAAATCAGAAAAGGTAAAAAACCCCACGAGGAAGATGAAGGCGTACATATATATAGACCATCGCTCATTCGCGATGCGACACGTGGCATATCTTTTGAATTTCAAAATTAAAGCGCGATCCAACCGCCAAGGAAGATGCAATCCAACGGCTCAGATACAATAGCGTGGACACCACGCGCTCCCTAAACCGCCGTTCACTGAAGCGACACGCTGCTCGACGAGAACGAATCAGACGACGCCACGTGGAAAGGCTCTGAAACGACGCGACTTTCCAAGACCGACAATAAGCGTAACGGACACGTCGCATTAAATGACCCGTCGCTTCGGATCTGGCCAATGGTGCACGATGACGGAAGGGAAAACTTTGCAAAGTTAAACGTACACGCCGAACTCGCGTATTGTCGAGCTATGATCGGGACTGATGAATTCAGCGTATTCCAAAACGACGACCTCACATGGGATACCAAAGGCACCCCATCTGAGCTCGGGAGCCTGTATGTTGACATCTGAGTTCGTCTTAAAAAGAAACCGGGCGTGACACCACCAAGAGTCGAGTCGGCGGTCTGGTCCGGGCATTGAAGTACCGAGCTCAGTCTTGATAAAGGATGAGCATCGAACATGGGTGATTTTGTTTCCGAGGCCGGCACTTTCATCTTCGAGGCGCTGACGCCGACCTCAAACAAGTGATGGTCTGAAGTATGGATACTGAAGATCGAAAGCGGGTGATGAGCTTGGGAACCGATCTGGGGATCAAGGACGGATACCCCGTGGAAAGGTGCGGGGCTCGGTAACAATAAAATATTGCTACCTGTTGGACAATGATTGCGGATGGGACGCACCACCATGCCCCTGATAGCCTATGGTATAATACTGGTTCGAACCTTCAAAGGAAACCACGATATGTAAATTTTGATAAACCAACATGATATAGGATATAATACCGGTTCGAACCTTCAAAGGAAACCACGTGGTCAGGCCGGGTCAACGGAGGAAGCCGTATTCGACCTAAACGCAGACAACTAAGAGGTCGATTCGACCTCACCCTACTCAGTCAATAGAGGAGCTGAGGAAGAACAAATTCTATCAAACTGAGAGTTCAACCTGGTAAAGAAGATTCGACCTCGGCGGGGAAAAAAGAGCATCTATCTGGGAAACCATGCCATAAGATGATTGAACCACTCGTCGCGAGGGGATTGATCTGTCTGCACCCTTGACACCTGACAATCTGAGGCACTGCAAGCACTGTAGACCGTACGGACGGGCAGCAGGGGCAGACATGTCAACGCTCCGGGCAAGCTTGAAGAACAAGATATCAGTTCCCTATATAAAGGGATGTAGTGGGTTAGTTTTGTGGTTACATTCTCTACACACTCTTATATATCTACTTACTGTTCATTACCTCAAAAATACACTGGCTTAAGCATTGGAGGCTCTTCACCGGAAAACTCTTTTTCCGGCGTCGAGTTCTTGTAGGTGTGGGAGCTGTTCGAGGTCGAAAAAGAGGCTATGAAGGTCAGCAAAGCTATTCCATCATCACAATAGGCCAGACCAGGATCGACTGAAGTCCATTTCACTATTATTGACGCCGCTTGTGGGACACGTTCGAAAAGCCATACCTGCAATCATGGTGAACGATGTTCCTATACAAAATTTGACACCTACGTTTGACGAGGCGTGGGTCAACACGAGGCCCTGGGGAGCAGGACATCCACCCGATTTTTCAGCTGGGCTCTCAAGATCTAAGGACCCCAACGCCCAACAACCCAGGCGCGGGGAGTCCCCCGATGGTTGCACCAGCTACGGGTGGCTCGAGTATGCAAGAAGGTGCCATGCTGGCGGGAGCTGCTGTGATCGAGCCCATGGCGGGCCAACTGGGAGGTTGCTCAAACTCGGCTCATTCGACCACCCAGGAGCCCTCCCACGCAGCAACTCATCACTATGACCAAGGAAGAAGTTATGAATGTTGGCGGATGCTCGAGCGGAGAAGCGAGCCTAGATTCAGGCTCAACAGACCAGTCACCCAACTGTGGCCACGAATACTACCACTCAAGTGATCAAACAGGAAACAGAGTTAGAGGAGTTCTGCAGTCGAGCGATAGAGTTGGAGTAGTCTAGCAGACTCAACAGGCCAGTCACCTAATTTGAGTAATTTTGCAATAATTATTATAATTATATGAATTACACAATCAAGTAACTGTCAAACCGTTTTTAGATATATATGGATATAGATTTCTATCTTTTTGTAGCGTGTTTGTGTAAATCATAATCTTTTGTAATTCTATCATGCAAATTGTACACGCTGTGTTAAATAATAAAGTCTATTCCAATAATTTATTTTTATTTTTTGGCAGTTAGGTTGCATTAATCATAATATTTTGCAACCTAATCTTCAATTGAACTTTTGTGCAGTTTATGTAATTAATTATTTACTGTATTACTGACTTTATCACTCTTTACTACGTAATCCTCTTTTATGAATGTAATGTTTCGTAATAATTCATAATTCTTGCAATTGCTCTATATGGTTTTGATGGCTTGATGCAAAAGCGTAATTAACGCGCCCCGCATGACGCTATAAGCTACTACTATGGAGTATTATTAAACCTCAATCTCCTCACTCTCTCTCTCTCTCTCTCTCTCTCTCAAACCTCTCTCTACTATGGAGCTCGCAACGCCTCCACCCGCCGGCACTGTAACCACATCGCCCCGCCCGCCAATCGTACCCTCGAAGCTCCGTCTGATGTGCAGCTACGGCGGCCACATACTCCCTCGCCCTCACGACAAATCTCTCTTCTACGCCGGCGGCGAGACCCGCATCGTCGCCTTGGATCGCCGCACGACCGCCGCCTCACTCTCGGCGCTCTCCGCCCATCTCTCTCGAGCCCTCCTAAACAACCGCCCTTTTCTCCTCAAGTACCAGCTTCCTAGCGAGGACCTCGATTCGCTAATCTCCGTTCTAACCGACGAGGATCTGTCGAACATGCTGGAGGAGCACGATCGGATCGATCCACCCGCGCGCATCAGATTGTTCCTCTTCCCCATCAAGCCCGAATCCGTGGGGTCGGCCCTGCTCGACCCCAAATCAGATACCTGGTTCTCAGATGCTCTAAAGAGCACGGGTGTTTTGCAGAAGGGGCAATCTGCGGATTCCGGTTTATTGATGAGCATTGTGCCGGATTTGGAGACTCCATTGGAGAGTGGGTGTATGGGCGGCGGCGGTGGCGAGGGTAAGCTCAGTGCTGAGTCATTGGTTCTGGAAACGAGTTCATCATTTGGGTCAACTAGTTCTTCGTTTTCCATGTCCAATTCGCCTCCAATTGGGATTAACCAGTGCGATGAGAAGGGAGTGAAGCTTGACAGGAGCATCAGGGTTCCTTCATCTGCCTCAATTGAAAGGTATTCGTTCCCTTTTTTTTTAAAAAAAAATATATTTTCCAATTTTTTCTCAAATACTTATTATTGTAAAATTGGCCGTCATTTTGAGATTGTGCTGCATAATTTCGAATGACGTTCTTGGTAGTAATAGTAATAGCTGTATGGAGTACGCTAGTTCATTGTAATTTGAGCAGTGTGATGAAGTAAATGATTTTAATGTACATAGTTTGAGGGAAAATTTAGATGTTTGTTCAGTGTACAACAAACATACTGATGGATTTCTTATAAGTATTTATAGAAACTGATCACGACATATTCAGAGAGATTTTCTTAATCAGCTTTGGACCTTTCATTATTCTAGAGAGTTGTAACTAGGTTTCTGGCACCATGCCTTGCTAGGTTGTTTGTGAAAAAATTGTGAAACCTCCTATATCTTCATGTGAAGGTTATGGCTGAGTTCATGGCACTTGTTTTTGCAGTGAAATAAGGCTTGCAAGTTTATCAGCCCCACCACCAAAACCCGGATTCCTTCAAGAGCCACTGATTCAGGTCGATCAAGACGAATCATCAGAAAATCCTGTTTCTGAAGCTTCACTCAATATAACATTTCATAAACCAACTCAAGTAATTGGATATCCTATATCACAGCTACCTGATGGAAAAAAGCAACAATCTGAAACACAGTTGATCCAAGGAGGTTTGCATTATATACCTCAGTATCCTGGTCCAGTGCAAATCCCACCTTACTATCCTCTGTACCAAACACCAATACACCCACAGCATATATCATGCCCTCCAAATCAGCCCTATCCCATATATTTGGTGCCGGTTACACCTTCCCAATATCCTAATATGTCAATGCTGTATAATTCCTCGGATGCCAATACTACAACTACTACTTCAGTTCTTCCTCCTTTGCATCCACAGGCAACATTGCCAGCTCAACCAAAAGTTTACCCCACTGCAACACAATTAGTTGGTTTACCTTCTGATCAAGGTCTAGCTGAGGGCCCTCCTGAGCCACAGACTGCTTTGGAATCTGTTAACACAACTGCTTCTGAGGGCAATGAATTTGAAGAAGATATTGTGTACAACCAAATATACAAAACTCAGCCTTTGCCACCTGTGGTGACACCTCAGAACCAAATGATGACAACAGGAATGAAGCTTGTGGAACCTTCTGTCCAGTTTCAGCAGAAAAAGCCATGCTAAGCTGCCGGCACATCCTTAATGGGTCATTAACTGATGAGAAATATTGTCACTTGCTCGTTCTTTTTTTTTTTTTTTAAATATATCTTTTTTTCTGTCTCTAGGTGGTTACTTATGTTGGTTTGGGGATGAAGAAACATAGTGTCTTAGTAATAGTGGGTTGTGTTGCTTTATGGAGGAGCAACAAAAACCTTGACATTGATTTGAATACCAGCTAAGGCGTTTAAGCCAGTTATTTCGTTATATAGGAAGGTTTGGTTTTGTGAGATATATGCATACAAAATGTGTATAAGTCAGATTGATGTTTCCATAAAATTTGTTAATTTGTTTGTTTATTTTCATGCACATTTGTTCATCTTTATTACTTCTTGTACCCTCATAAGAATGTACCCATTTACAGATAAACGTTGTATTTAGTGAAGGAGCAAACATGAATGACTTGTTGAAACTGCTTACAGAGTGTAGAATTGTTCTTCAAGGCCGTACTTGTACAATTGAGTTGGTTGATAAAATACATGGAAGTGAAACATTTGTAGTCATTGATTTCCTTTTCTTTCTTTCCTTCTTTCTTTCTTTCTTTCTTTCTTTATCCTGTGCCTACAGCAATTGAAATTATGGAAAACAAGGACGGGAGAAAACACAGAAACAAAGTTTGCCCAACATCTAGTGAAGGATGCTAGTTTCACTCTGATGGAGTGAATTAACGAACTTAAAAATGAGCTGCATCATTTATTTTTCTGATGCTAGCAGTGTGCCTTCTGTGTACCCATAGTAGTTTTGTGTTCTTATTCGCCACTAAGTGCTTAAACTCTTTGAATTCTTTTAAGAGCTGTAGCCTTCTGAAATACTATTAGTGTGCTTTCATTGGTTCAGTATACCTTTTTGGGCTCACTGCTTTTGTGCAAGGCTGATTGAAGGGTTCACATGACTCTGTACTGTATACCTTTATGATCTCCATAAACAGAATGTGGGAATAATTATGTGTTGCTAATCATTTTAATATCTTATAGCATTTGGACTCATTATGGCGCTTTAAAGATGTGATGGACAACAAGTGCCAAAGATCATGCTAGTGATGAGGTGCATATTCTTTATGGTAATAATTGAAACTTACTGCTTACAATTACTCTACTAACAAAGAAAGAAAGTAAATAAGAAAGAAGAAATATTTCCTTGTAGATAGAAATTACCAGGGTTGCAAGAATAAAAAAATCCATACTCAATAAAACAGTCAGAAAAAAACTGATGCACAAAACCACAGAGGAATTATTCTTCTAATGATTAAGTTACACTTATTCTTCAATGCCTTTTGCTCTGAAGAACTTGGCCAGATTTGGCATCACCTTTGTTCTCCTCCTGACAGAGAAGGACGTGGATCTTTGAGTACCACGAATTACTGGAGACCCGGATTCTCGAGCTTTTCCTCGTCTTCTGTTTATGGACTTTCCAGAAAATCCAGACCTTGGCTTCGGATATTCAGGTTTCACCATTTGCCTCCACTTCTCAAAGTCTACCTCGTCAACTTTTTCCTCTGCATTATTAGCTAATTCTTCATTTGTTTGGGCCTTCTTATGTAACTCCTCCACTCTCATTTCTCTAATTTCTCTTTTCAAAAGCTCACATTTAATCTGAATTTCCTTTTCACTCGCCTTCAGGGCCTCAACCCATGCCTGAGCAGCCTCGACTTTTCTATCCGCAACCTTGTGGGCCCCGGCCGCATGCCCTGTCAGGTAATCATACTCAAACTTGGAAATTGTTATTGTTGGTCTAGCCTGAGAAGCCGAAGTTCTGTCCCTTACAGTTTTCTCAATCAGGGATTTGAGATTCTCCATGGCCACTGCTTCTGATGACTTGACGGCTCTTAAATCTTGCAGTGTGGATTGTAATTTTTCCTCAGCCGCCTCTGTTTCAGTCTCTAATCTCTGAATCTCTGCCTTAATATCTGTGTTCTCTTTGCCAATCAGGGAACGTTGGTTTTTAGCTGTTTCTACTTCTGATTTGATCTGCTCGAGCGTGACAGTTAGATTCAAGGTCACCGATTTAGCCTTTGCTTCACTTGCAGATGCTATTTCCAGCTTGGATTTGGCTCTCAAAAGCTTTGTGTTTAGATTCTGGATGTTCGTCTCTGTTTCTTCTTCTTTCTTTTTCTCTTGAGCCGTTTGGTCTGAGATGTGCCTAAGCTCGTTCCTGATGACGTCCATGGAGGCCATGAACTGGAAGCTTTCTTCTTTAGCTAAAGCCAACTCATCTTTTGCAGTCTCCAACTCTTTCAGTACTGACTCTAACATTGATGCATTTCCTGATTCTTCCCCGTAATTCAAGATTTTGTTCCTTTCGAGTCCCTTGTCCATTTTCTTCAGTTGCCGTAGTTCATTCTCTAAAATGTTGATATCTGACAGAGTGATTGCCAAGTTCGCCTCCATATCGTTAATACTTTCAGTTTCTTGAATCATTTTATGGTTTTCCTTCTGCTTTTCGTCTATTGCAGCTGAGTATTTTTCGGCATTTTCGCTTCTTTGAGCTTGAATCTCTTGGTATTCCTTGATGGCCTCTATTCGAGCCAGCTCAACCAGAACATGCTCTTCATTGACTTTCTCTGTCTCTTTGTCGAGTGCTTCGACTGAATTCAAGAAAGACTGTGTTTTTGACAGGGCGGTTTCCATTTCTTTCTCTGCCCTGTTTTTTTCCTCCAAAATTGAAGCCATGTCCAGTTTTAGTCTATTCAATTCTCGTTTTATGGATTGCAATTCTTTCATCACTTGCTCACAATTTCCAGGGTCCCGTTCGACTTCCCTGGTTTTATCCATCTTTAGTTTTTCAAGGACCAGCATTTGCGAGTTGCCCTTTGAATTTAATTCCTCAATTTTTCGAGTTAAATCTTTTACCGTCTTCTTTGCAGCTGATAGCTCGGATTCTGCTTCGACCTTTGCTAGTTCTGCGAACTGTCGGCTCTCCTTTAGCTGGTGATTGTCCCTCTTTGCCTGATGTAGCTCTCTTGTTTTGTGATTAGGCTTCTGTTGAAGTATATTGTAACGAAATGATTCACTCAATGAAACTGGACTAAAGTTTAAAAGAATTGCCGATGAACTTCGAACAAATGCCTTGAAAATGCAAAGCTGAAATACCCAAGAAAAAGAAGAATAATTTTGCAGGTACCTCAGGGTATCTTGTTTGAAATTCTTTTATTATGGTAGAATTTTCATCAAGAATCCGCTCTCTGTAAGAGTTAATAGCTGCTTTAACTGAGCCGGTTTTCGTGTCAGATAATTTGCCTTCATCCATCATCTCCAGAATCTACAAAAGCCAAAGGCCTGGAATAATTAACACTCAAAGTTAAACTGCATCAAAAGAAAGAAAAATCCCAACAATATATAAAAAAAAAGATGTCAAACTTCTTCATCTGTAGAAAGAAAAACAAAAAATATGTTGAAAGTAGCAGAGTTGCACACGTACGTGGAAGTTGTTTACAAGAAAGAAGTCTTGGAGCTAAGTTTTGTTTCCAAAAAATCTCCAAGTTTATGGAGCTTTTATGGAAATTGTGATTGGCTATTATTGATTTCATTTATCACCCGGCGTTGGAGCTTTCATGAGCGGGTCCCATTAAATGGTGATCTCTTATTTAGTTGTTATAAGGGGAGAAAATATGGTAAGTGGTAACTTCACCTACCGACGTTGTATATATGCTTCTTTCAAATTAGTTGTACGTCTCTATCTTTTTTATCACCTGGTTTAACTTTCTGCGCGTTCACACTAGAGACGGTATCGTAATTAATCAATTCAAGTGTGAACGCAACGCTGTATGTTCAGTACTTCGTCCTGCGCGTTCACACTAGGGGCGGTACCGTAATTAACCAACTCTTTATAAACTCAATTCAAGCAAGACGAGGTTGCTTATATACAGCGGCGCGTTCACACTAGGGGCGGTGAATTGGGTTAATTACGGTACCGCCCCTAGTGTGAACGCGCCGTAAACTCAATTCAAGCAAGACGAGGTTGCTTATATACAGCGGCGCGTTCACACTAGGGGCAGTGAATTGGGTTAATTACGGTACCGCCCCTAGTGTGAACGCGCCGTTGTATAAAATCAACCTCGTCCTGCTTGAGCGGTGAATTAGGTTAATTACAGTATCGCCTCTAGTGTGAACGTGCCGCTGTATAAAATCAACCTCGTCCTGCTTGAATTGTGTGATAATCGTGGGTATAATGCTGGGTATTTTACTCATAACAGAGGCACAGGCACAATATAGGGGGTTACATATACTCCATGGCTGCTGTTTGGTGCAGAGTTTAAAGGTGGTGTGCTAGTAACGAGACCTTAAAAGACAAAAAAGAACAAGGGCGAAATGAAACCTGTTGCGAAATCTTTGACTTACTATCCATGGTTTCGATGTTTTGTATTCGGAGAGTTTGTAGTTGGTTCAAAGTGGACCATTATCCATGAAGTAACTCGGAGGTGCATGCTTCGCCACGTTGACATATAATTAACCACTAGTACAATACCCGTGTATTACACGAGTGTTGAATTAGAAAACTTTAGTAAAAAATATTATTTTTTTTAAAATTTAAATAATTTAATTTTATATAAAACATTAATTTGAGTTTTAACTAAATTGTCAAATTATATTTTTTTAAATCATAATAATTAAACACCCGTACATTAAATGAAAATGTCAACTCGTGTTGAATTTCTTACTCATATCATATAAAAATATCGATATTATTTACTATTACATAAGAACAAAAATATATATCTTAAATAAATAAAAATAATATGGTGATATGTATATGCATAAGTGCATAATATGTTTATTTAATATTAAACAAAATAGATTATTTTTTTTACTTAATTAGATGCCTAATACATCAATTGTCGTATCCGTCGTGCTTCACAGTTTTTAACTTTATATGTAATTTTAGAATTTAGATAAATATTATTTATTTTTATTAGGTTGACAACATACCAATTAGATTTGAAGTAAATATCATTTTTAAAAGAATACATATCAATTGCTATTACTTTATAATATAATTTATAATTTTATTTGATATAAATTAATTTAGTTTGATAAATAAATTTAAATTTTATTTATAAGGATATATATTACTGTTTTGTATTTTATATATATAATATAGATGTCAAATCGAAAATCGTTAAAAGATGGTTAATTTGATATATCATATATGAAAAATAAAATACAAACAAAAAAGTTATAACATCTTAAAATAAGAAGAAGAAACATTTATAAAAACTAATGAATTTAGTGTGATAAAAAATATTAATTTATATCCAAGTCTAACTCTAAGGNGTTAGGTATTATCCCATTAATGCTATTTTTTTTCATTTTCGCTCTTTTTGGAGGAGTTAATTATGACAAAAAAAATATTGTTCTTTTTCATTGAAGTATAAAAATCCAACAAAGAGTCATTAATATAACGATTTAATTATAAATGTAATATATACTATTATATAATTTTTTATTTTAATTAAGATTTTTAAAAATCCAACAAAGAGTGCATGTGCACATGATTAATACTAGTTATATGTATGATTTGTGGTGTTGTCAACTTTTCACTTGGTAATCCTATGTATCGATTTATTTTTGGTACTTTGTAATTCTATGTGTCGAATTCGTCGTGTTGTCAACTTCTGGCTCTACAATTATCTGTATCCATTTTTGGGGCTTCATAATTCTTTATGTTGAGTTTTTCTATTTCAAACTAAGATTTGAACTTTTATCCATGCACTTTTAAAACTATAATACACTTAATCAATTTAAATTATAAATATATTTCAAAAATTTATAATTTTTTCATTTGTTATCAGTTTTTGATATATAACATATCAAATTAATTATCTTTTGACGATTTTGAATTTGATATTCATATTACATATATAAAAAATAATAATTATCTTTCTAAATAAAAATTAAATTACATACCATACCATAATTAAAAATTATCAATTATTAATTAATTTTATCTACCAAATATTGTATGATATGAATCAGAAAAATTGTTATAAAACGGGACGAGCCAATCATAGTATCATTGGAAATAAAATAAAATAAAAAAAAAAAAAAAATCTTCAAGCATTATTTGAAAATTTAAATACCATACCACCTTGTAATACACAGGTGTTGTGGCATGCTCTTTTATGTTGGATATATTTTCATTTGAGTGAACTCTTTTCACTAGATACTGATGAAATATAGAGTAAGAACTATAATTATTTTAATATAAAGTGATATAAAATAATAATTATGTTGTAATAGGTAAATACTGAAAATAACGTGAATAGTTATGAAAGTGTGAGTTGACAAATATTATTTTTTTATATAAAATAAATATTTGTTAATGATTTATTTTAAATTTAATAATTCTATTGAAAAACTTGAGTAAAAAAGAGTGAAAAAATGAGATTGATGATTTTATATTTTTTTTTTATTGTGGGATAAAATAATGATATTAAAAATATATCAATCACATAGATACTTTTATCCGTATTAATATTCATATATTACATACTCCTATGTTATTTTACCAGGCGATCACTTTTATATTTTTTTAGTGCATGCTTGGATACTAATTTTCTCGAAAAAAAATAATCCAATTATTTGTAACCAATCTATTTTTTTTAAGAACTTACAAACTAACTCAAATTTAACTCAACTTCGCTATCCTCAATATTATCAATATAATTAAATAATATTACTATTCACTCACTCATATAATTTTAACTAACCATCATCATTTCACATCATCTCTCTCCTAATTTTACATCAAATCAACTAAAAAATTTTATTTTAGATATTATTTCAATATAAACTCAAAATATCACTAACAACTAACCATACTACTCTTTTCAAAATTAACCAAACAAAACAAAAAAAATCAAAACACAATTAAAACATCTTATATCCAAGCATAATGGTTTCGTCTTATTAGATAATTTTTTTTTCGTGAGAATTAAGATTGAATATAAATATTTTTTCAAAAAATCATAATTCATCTAATCTCACTTTTATCTCGTTAATCTTGTCAATATAATTAAACAATAAAAAAATATTTATTATACATTTTTTAATATAAATTTAATTACATATTTTTAACTTCAATCATTTACATTTATTATTTTACTACTTTTATATCATATCAAATTTATTAATTTTGTTTTATATCATATTCATTCACAATTCACAAATATTTTATTTTTTTCTCTTTAACTCAATTTTTCCACTTAAATATTTTTCTTAAAATAGTTTAGATCTAGTCGGTGAAATATTTCGGTACGTCGTAATCGAATGTCTTTGGTTTGTATTTCGATGCTTGGTAATCGGATGTCTTTGGTTTGGAGTAGTACAACTAGATTTGGGGTTCTATTTGGTTTGTCTTCGTAATCGGGATGTCTTTGGTTTGTCTTTGGTTTCGGTGCTTGGTAATATGTCTTTTAAAATTATAAAATACATGACCAACATAAACTACAAATATATTGTAAAGTTAATAATTTTGTATTAAATTACCAAACTTTCATATATGATATATCAAATTAATCGTCTCATGTCAAGCTTTTTTATCTGACACCCATTTTCATATATAAATAAATATCTTTATTTAACTTTATAATAACAAATAAATTATATATCAATATTAATTAAAAAATAATAAAATTATTTTAATTACGTACATCTATGTATTAAATATATTATATAATATGATTTAATTTTTTTTATATAATATGACGTAAAATATATTTATAGTATTATGAGTGTCATATCAAATATAAAAAATAATCTAAGTTCATAAATAATGATTTAAAATATAAATAAATCTTCCATTTATGTATACTTGTATTTGATCCTGTGCACATGCACAAAAATTTAAATTATTATAACTTATAAGTTACGTGCATGTGTATAATTGTAAAATTATAAGTTAAATAATAGTATCATATTTTAAAAATTTTGTTGTTAATAAAAATAAACATCATAAAAGTATTCAAATTCATCACTATATTTATTATATAAAATAAAATAGATAATTATTTTTCATTACATTCAACTAATATAGTGTACAATCTTGCATGAAAAAATTAAATTTGAATGAGCTGATGTAAAGATTTCTATTACAAAAGATGACTTTTCTTATATGTATTTTGCGTTGTATCTATAACATATCAATACTTAATACTTTTGCATGTGAATAGTCAATATATAAATTAAAAAAATATTTTTAACCATTCAAATTTAAGGGTTTAAACATTATCTTGTAACCAAGCAACAGTTACATTCTCCAAACTAGTATAGTCCCGTGCGATGCACGGGGGTTTATTATCTCCGTCCCTTTTATAATCAATGTTCAGTTAAAATTCAAAGTACTTACTAAAAGAAAGATCATGCCATTAATAATAAATAAATTAATAAATAAAATGATAATAAAATCTATATATTATTGAACACTTCCTTATATACAACGTTCATGGTTTGATTCTTTGGCACGTCATCGTCGCCACAAATTAAGACTTTCAAACCCATTTCTGTTTGTGACACGGGAGACAGCAACATACAATTGGCCATGACTAAACACTGGTTTCTTGACAAATAAACACACATGCGATAATGATTGTTCTTGGCTCTTATTTATAGTAATGGCGTAAGAAAACATAATGGGAAACAATCAATCCAATAACATCTACAAAAATATAATGCATCATATTGAAATGTAAAACATTTAAAATAGTTTATTACAGATTTTAAATTAAAAA